GTATTTTGTTTTGTTTTTAGTGCATTTTGTTTTGTTTTTCGTGTATTTTGTTTGGAAGTCGGTTTTGTTTTTTTATTAAAAAGTTTTTTTTAAGTTTAATATGGACTGTTAATCTGGTCAAAATTACAAGTTCACTGGATGGCGGAAGGGACCGATCATTGCGGTTGTTAGGTTCTACGACTGGCAGTAGATGGACAAAAGCTGAAAGTATGAATGAAGAAATTATAAAGCAGACCGCTGATGTCTTTACTACAAGCAATAAATACCCTATGCTCCCTTGCACTTTTAGGCACATAACAAACCTTGGGGACATCGATCACTATGTTACAATTTCCATTGTTAAACGTTTGTCAAAAAGTACTTCACGCTATACTGAGATACTTCTTAATTCATGTAATAAATGCTGCCTTCAGTATAGCTTCGCAATTGTATGCTTACAACTCTTTTGTCATGGAGCACAGTAATAATTCATCTTAAAATGTTACTTTGATCTAATATTCATTCAGACGACCTTTATAAAGAACCTTTTGCCTTCTTAGAAAGGAAAATGGATTTATAGTATTAGGAACAAAAAATATTCACAATCAGTTAGTTTACAGTATTTTAAGGTAAGGTTAAAGTATAGTCTATACTAATATTATAACGAGGAAAGATTTGTATTTGTGGATTTTTGTATGTATTCGATTCACATAAAAAGTAATGGTCCGATTTCAAAAATTCTTTCACCTTTAGAAAGGTATTTTATTTGTGGGTAGCATAGGCTATATTTTTTTTTAATTTTACGCTGGCGAAGTCGCGAACAATAGCTAGTCTTATATAAAATAAATATAGTAAGGTTATAGTGTTAAAATGACACGAGTGTGAAGATCTTACTGTTTTATTGCCAACACATCTGTATATCATCACTTAATTTTCACATATATACGTTACATAATAGGATAATATTTCATATCACGTGTTCTAAATTCCAGTAAATATCCTTCTTCAGGGCTAAAACAATGAACTGCAGATGTACTAATTATCATATAACATATTCTATATTGTTCCAAGTAATTGCATTATAACACTACCGTGTAATAAATATAAATGTGTATTATGCTATTGTTTTTGATGATTTCAAATAAAGTACATTTTAACAAGGAAACATTAAAGAACCGATTTAATAAACAACGTAATTTAAACATACACGTTTTCATAATTTAAAACATCGACAATATATGAAAAACCATAGAGGGCGTGCGGGTGACACATGAATTCGCTTTCTCAATTCTCTGTACGCGCAGATCACCTAGTTGGAAAAATAAATACGCGTCGAATCAACTAGAAATAAAACTAAAAAAAACTCAAAAAAACTAGAAAAATACCTTCAATTCCTTTAAAATGGTTTATAGCAAATTCTGTTTTTAGGAAAAATAAATATCTTAATTTCTGCAGTTCCAAAATAGTTAACTCTTTCGCTTCGTCATTTCGCTTTTTAACGATACCAAAAGATTTCGTAAAAACATAACAAGCAATTCGTTCTTGAATAACATTACTAAATAATAAACCTTGCACTTTCAATTGTTTATTTAACAGTTCACTATATTTTAATCATGTTGATTGACCTAAGACCTGTTTTCGAAGATAAATCTGCAATATCACGTTGTTATTGATAGAAAATGTACTTACTTTTAATTGCAAATATGTACTTGAGCCTTATCAACTAGAGATTGCAAGAACTAAAGAAATTGCAGAAAAACTAAAACCTTGATTATCTAGACACATTTTCTTCTGCACATTCATAAAGTGACAAATGATTTTTTTTTATTTAAATAAAGATAGAAAAATATTAAGTAAAATATATAAATTGAATGTGGATGGCTACAAAGGTAGAGGAAGACCGAAGAAAGTATGAAAAAAAATGAAAATGAAAAAAATATTTATTAACCAAAAAGATTGTACAAAACAAATAACTTTGAAAATACCTTAAAATTATACATAATAGGAAGTTAAAAATAGTCGTTATTATAAGTTATTCTAGCTAAGCTTATCTGGTGATGGCCACACTAGGCAATGCCTGTATCGTGGCCACCGGAATTCACAGATACAATATTATCTGACCACAAAATTACATAAACCCACTCTCACGGCAGTGTTCTAGTATTTAATTATAAGTTAATCAAGTTTAAAATTTACTGTTATTAAAATGTAATTGGGAAAATATATATATATATATATAGTTTTGTAAATAACAAGAAAGGGAATAAAACTCTGTAAATATTTGTGTAAATATATATATGATAATAGATAATATATAAATGTATCAAAGTATCACAATCTAAAGTTTTCCACGGTACTCAATAAGGTTATGATTTAATCTTAAGAAGGTTTTCTGTATCAGTGTAGTTTAAAGTAAGCAGCCAATCCAGTAAGATGGATTTGGCTTGTGGCAGAGATTTTTCTAAAAAGTCGCAGCGTTTTATTACCGAATTATAAATATGATAATGAATAAATGTGCCCGTCCGTTGTGCAAAGTAGGATTTGACTGATGGCATGGGTAATCGGTAGGCTCTTCGAGCCAACATACCTTTGTGATTAGCAGATCCCAATACAGTTTTATGGACTAACATCAGCGTTTTGTGAATATATAATTGCCTTACAGTAAGTACACCACAATCCCTATAAAGACCTGTAGTGGGGTACCGGAATGGTTTATTTAACATAACTTTCAGGACAGAACGTTGAGCTCTTTCAACTCGAATCATAGAGGTAGCATTCGCGGCACCCCAGCAGTATGGATGGATAGTGTGAAAGAGAATATGCTTAAGAAAGGAATGGACTCAGATATGACAGCTGACAGAGATGTATGGAAGAGCAGCACATACTGTGCCGACACTTCGTAAAGGATTAGGGCAAGTGGATGATGAAAGACATAGAAAAATATTTCACGTCGTAGAGTTACTTCACAAATATAATAAATGCAATTATTGCTTAATTAATAAAATAGACATTTATTTCTTGATATGAACTCAGTGATATTTCAACAGACATTTACACATATATTCTGTAATGTATAATGAAATTACATTTATCCTACAAACGTGATTAAACATAAATTGCTCATTTCTTTTACGATCACCTGAGTACAGTTTCTTAACTCTTTTATGAAG